GGAGCACCAGGATGGGATGGGATGGCCCCATCCCCGCCGCGTGCCCGGCCTCACCGACGGCCACGTTGGCCATCATGTTGTAGCCGTAGTCGAAGCGGACGAGGGACAGGTAGGAGACGTGGGCGGCGAGCAGCAGCAGCAGCAGGGCCCTGCAGGCGCTGACGAGCGCCGGGCGCCGCAGCCCCAGCGTCCTGGGGGGCCGGGGGGCGCCCGTGAGCGGCGCTGCCGCCCGGTGCCCCCCCGGCCCCGGTGCCGGTGCCGCTCACCGGACGCAGCACAGGTAGGTGGAGTGCAGCAGCACGGCCGAGGCGCAGAAATAGTCCAGTTTCTGCGGGGGAGGCGGCGTTGTGGGGGGCCCGGGGGCGAAAAGGGGCCCCCCCGGCGCGGTGGGAAGCAGCGTGGGACGYGGCACTCGCGGTGTCCCGGAGCCACCGCGCACGGACACTCACCTCCGTCAGAGCCGTGTCCTTGGTGTGGAAAACCGTGGACCAGAACCAGGCGTTTAAGGAGACCTGGCGGGAAGGCGGAAACCTCGAGGGAGGCCCCAGGACRCCCCCAGTGCCTCCTCAACCCCCCAGCTCCACCGCGGAGGCCGCAGCCTCTCCAGGCCCATTCCCAGCTCCCATGCGGAGAGTCCCCGGCAGGCTCCCCCCGCGGGAGGGAACGGGAGCCCCGTTCCGCAGCGGGAGCCGCCGGCCGGCGCTCACCGCGGCCGAGGTGACGCACGTGCGGTACATGGGCGACGCGGGCGGGACGCTGGCCCGGTAGCGCAGCAGCATCACGAGGCTGGCGAGGCCGTTGAGGAGGGAGGCGAAGGCGGAGGCCGGCTCCTGGACGAAGAGCAAGCGGGAGAAGGGCCACTGCAAGGCAACGGGGGCGGAGGGCAGGGCCGTGGGGTGGCCGCGGTGCCCGGAGGGGGGGTCCAGGCCCCCCCGGCGCCCCCCCGGACCCCGCTCACCTTGCCGTGGAACTGAGGCACTTGGTAGCCGCCCTGCGCGTACAGCCGCACCGTGAACCACATGCACTCGTACCTGCACTCGTCCCGGCACGTCCAGCCTGCGGCGGCGCCGGAGCAGCTGCGGGCGCCGCGCGGGGCTCCCGGGACAACGCCCGGGTACCCCCCGGTGCCCCCCACTGCCCATCAGCACCCACCCAGCGCAGCCCCCAATAGCCCCCGCCATGGGTCAGGGTGCCCCAGGATGGCCCAGGGGCCCCAGCAGCGCCCCAGGACTCCCAACGTGCTTCCAGGAGGCTCCTGTGTCCCCCAGCATGGCACATTGGTCGCCAGGGTGCCTTTAGGATGGGTCACTGGCCCCCAGGATGGACTCGTGCCCCCGTCCCCCCCAGTATGGCCTGTTGTCTCCCAGGATGCTCCCAGCATGTCCCAGTGCGCCCCCGATGCTCCCCATGTCCCTGAGTGTCCCCCAGATGCTCCCAGGATGGCCCAATGTTCCCCTAAATGCGCCCAGCRTCCCCCAGTGTCCCCCAGACGCTCCCAGGATGGCCGAACATCTCCTCTGATGCTCCCAGTGTCTCCCAGCATGTCCCAGTGTCCCCCCCAGATGCTCCCAGCAGGCCCCAGTGTCTCCCAACAGGCCCTAGTGTCTCCCAGCAGGTCCCAGTGTCTCCCAGCAGGTCCCAATGTCCCCCTGGATGCTCCCAAATGCTCCCAGTGTCCCCCAGCAGGTCCCAGTGTCCCCCCGGATGTTCTCAGATGCTCCCAGTGTCCCCCAGCATGTCCCAGTGTCCCCCTGGATGCTCCCAAATGCTCCCAGTGTCTCCCAGCAGGTCCCAGTGTCCCCCCGGATGCTCTCAGATGCTCCCAGTGTCCCCCAGCATGTCCCAGTGTCCCCCCGGATGCTCCCAGCAGGCCCCAGTGTCTCCCAGCATGTCCCGTGGCCCCGCGATGTCCCGGTGACCTCCGTGCCCCGCCCAGTGCGGGCGGGGGCGGCGCTTGCGGGGGCGGGTCCCGCCGGGGGGGCGTGGCCTGGCGGCACCCAGCCAATAGGCGCGCGGGGCGGGCCGGCGCGTACCTGTGAGGCTCATGTAGAGCGGCTGCCGGGCGCGGAAGAGCCGCAGCGCCGCCCCCGAGCAGTTGCGCCGCTCGCAGCGGGCCACGCAGTCCCGGTAAAGCGGCTCCCGGTC